TATAATAAGACTATAAGGAGCCATGTACTACATATATCACTCTAGCACCACCATAATGTATCTAAGTTCTTAAGAGAGCAGAAGAAAGAGAGAAGTGAAAATGCAAGAGAAGCATACCTCTTCACAACCTGATTCCATCATCACTTTTATTGATCTTGTCACAAGCTCTGAAGCTGTGAACCACAACGAAAACTTAGCACACAACAACAATATCCAAACTTGAAAGAGAGGCAATGGCTGGCTTTGCATTGGATTCAAAACAAGATCATAATGACAGGAAGCTTGTGGAAAGTACCTATGCCTCGGCCACGATAAGGTTTGATTACGACTAACATGGCGATGTAACCTCTGTAAGTCTGTCGATGCTCTCCCATTTTACAGACTATGGTTCCTATGCATCTACCTTTGTGAAACGCCTTTTTCGACAAAAGAACGAAAGGTTTCACTCATCAAATCCATTAAAGCATGACAATTTACGATAGATATATGGAATTACCAGGAAGCAGAGCTGCGGCCAGAGGTAGACGAAGTAACGGTAAGTGAAGATGGAGTAAGGCTCACTGAGTTCTTGGTCGACTAGTGACATAATCAACGGCAGGTGATGCTCGCCGGCGTAGCTCGTGTACTCAATCTCAGACTCGTCGAATTCCTCTTTCTCTTCTATACTTTTCTCCATTGGAAAGAAAGTTGCAAAAGAAGTGATTCAGATGCTGAATTGTACACTTACTGCAAAGTTGAGAAGAGAAGATAAAGCGGAAATTAGTTGGGAATTGAATCGGTTTTCTGGGATTGAGATTGAATTGATTGTTTCGAAATTGGAAAGTTCGGGTGTTTTGATGAGAAATTGAGAAGCAAGCAACGATAGCTCAATTAACAGCTGAAGCGGAATCTATGGGACTATGTGTCATCAGTAAATCAAACGATTTGGGATAAATAGAGTTTTAAAGGATTTAGGAAATCAGAGAGAAGAGAGTGTACCGATTTTCTGCGATTGGGATTAGTGAAATGCCTGTTCAGCAATACAGATCAAATACCGAATAGCTCTGTGTGAAGATTTAAATGTTGCGATTGTGTGACGTCTGAAGAAGCTAACGCGAAGAGAGGAAGACGAAGAAGAGGAAGAAGAAGGTCGATTACACGTGACAAGCGTGTAGGGTTTGAGGATAGATTTGGGCTTTAATTAAGCCCAACAAAGAAATTATCAAAAATTAAAGCCCAAAAAAGCAAAAAATAATTTGTCTCAAAACAACATCAGATAACGAAAAGCCTATCCTAAAACGGTAAACGCATTTCAACTTTCGCGACCTTATCTTCTTCAATACACTCAAACGCAGACGATAAGAGCAAACACGGCGATGGCGTCGCTTCTACTCGGTGCTCCTCCGCGAGTCTCCGTCGTATCATCTCTCTCCGCATCTTGCTCTCGGTTATCATCATCTCACTCGGAAACTGTCGGTGTCTCTCTCTCCTGCTTCACTCAGCAATTGTCTCTCTCCGCTTCCTCATCATCCAGCTCAATTCCACTTGGTAATCTCTCTCCTTCACTCCCAATCATAATGCCTCTTTATCTCACTCTCTCTTCAATTAACGGCGTGAATTTTCCGGTCAACAGTGTACTGTGGCAGAGGTGACCGCAAAACAGCGAAAGGAAAGCGTTTCAATCACTCATTCGGAAACGTAAGTATCAAATTTCCCTCTTTCGATTTCCATAAAGCGAATTCGAATTTTGTTTTTGAATTTTTTGGGGAATTTGAGCAGGCGAGGCCACGAAACAAGAAGAAGGGAAGAGGGCCGGAGAGAGTACCGGTCCCTCCTGCTCCTCCGAGGAAGGATAAGTTTGAGAACGACGAGAAGATCAAAATCGACATCGACGAGTCTCTCTTCTCTAATTAGAAAGCTTCACTTCATATCACTGTAATTGTATTTGATAATTCTGCTGCGACTCTTTGTTGTAATTGTTAAACATCATCTCCAATTTCTTTTCTTTCTATGAAAAATCTGCTCTTTCGTTTCTTATTCACTTGCTCTGATGGAATCAACTTTTGTGTGATTGAGTCTAGATTCGACTTGTTTAGAGGAAACTAATTGAGTTTTACAAAGAAAACGTAAAGCAAAGTTTATACAAACACAAGAATCTACTTATACAGATTGAGAGTTTGTGATGTTGCCGCAGACTGTGCAGTGAGTGGAGATGAGTCTGTGCATGACGCTTCCTTCTTCAATCTCCATCTTCCTTGTGACTTTGTTCCACAGATGTATCACGTAACTCTCTCTGCTCATGTCCTCCACTGTCTTCTCCACCCAGTTCGCTTCTCCTGTGGTTGCAGGTTTCTTGAAAAGCCTCGAGATCTTAAGCCAATTCACCGGATAAAAAGCATCCGGCGGAAAGATTCTGACTTTGTACTGAGGTTTGCTTCCTAATCTCTTGATGACTCTAGAGACTAGGTAAGGACTGTTGTGTCCCCATCTGGATCCGTCGAAATTTGTTGAATACTCTCGCAAGAACTCGCGCATGAGCGGATGGTAAACGTCAAAGACCATCACTGCGTTGTTTAGCCTTGTCCATGTTTTGGTTTCTGGATCCATGCTCTGTGCTCCGATTGCGTTTCTGAGTCGTGTCATGTCGTTGAGGAAGATGATGTCTGTGTCTAGATAGACTCCTCCGTACTTGTAAAGCACCGCGAGTCTCGTTAGGTCAGAGAGGTTCATGAAGAGAGGGATAGAGCCAGGATCCATTTTACCACTCTTGAGCTTCTTAAGCCAAGCTTCCGCAGGAGTGTTCTTGACGAGGAAAGGGATGTCTGGTGTTAGAGCGACGAGGTTGAAGCCTTGATCAAGCAATGGTTTGAGGGTAGTGTATCCTTTGGGAGAGTCTAGAGAGTTTGAGAGAATCGCCAAGCAAGCATTAGGGTTTGTGGTGAAGAGAGTGTCAAGAGCTAACATCTCTCTTGGTCCAAAGGAGTTTGCCGGAGAGAGCCAAATCATGAAGAATTGAGCTGAGCAGTTCTTGTTGTACAGCTCCAAAACTCTTCCATGGAATCTCTTGCTCTTCCTTGTGGATTTAAGTATCTCAAGCTCCGGTAGCTTTCTTCTGAACCATTCGATTCTCTCGCTCTTGCTAGCTTTAGGAGGAGGTACCAATGGATCTAGCTCCTCTTTTTCTTCCTTTGGAACCGAAACAACAACACTACTACTATTACTACTACTTGTACTGATGGGACCAATGGTTCTGGGAAGAGGCATGTTTGGTTTGAACGTTGGTTTATTGTCAGGGACAGTAGATTCTGGAGATTCCATGTAGAGCAGAAACAATACAGCACAAACCACGAAGACTGCGAACATCGGTAGCTTCCTTGCTCGCATCTTAATCCTGTGATTGAACTCTTGTTCGATGTCCTTCTTAGCTTTACGCTGTATACAGAGTTAAGAGTTTGTGAGAGATTGTTTGTGGCTGCTATCTCTTAGGTAATTTATATAAGTCGTATATATGTTCATCGTTTCCTAATTCCACATGGAGTAAGATTGTATCAGTGATATTCTTGAAAATTAAATCCATTGAACAGTTGTTCCTACTCCCTATAGAAGTAGGAGTTGAGTTGCCGTAGGTTGCAAGTAATTTTATTAGGTTACAGGAAACTTGCGGTTACAAGTAATTTTTTTATGGTCAAATTTATTTGTATAATGTTCTAAACATTCTTATTTTTTTAAAAAAAAGGTTTATTATGTTGGTAAAACTAATTTGTTCATAAACATCTTTGTAGTGTGTTTGTATATATCTAACCTTCATCTACAACAAAACATACAAATATGAAATATGGACATTAAGACAAATGCATCGAGTTAAAACTTAAAAGTATCAAACATATATACATTATGTAGAAGATATTATGACCGCGATCCGCGAAAATGGCGGTAGAGAGACTATTACCGGGGAATTCGTGTGCTTGAGTTGGCGGAAATCAATTATTTCCGAGAGAATCTTGTTGCTATTGTCCTTCTCCATTGTTTCAGAACGTCTTTGAACAGAGAAAGTCAAAAACTCACGTGGAGTCGTCTGAAGCTAATGCAGATGATATACGAGAGGTATATGATAAAGAGATGTATAAGAAAGTGGAAATGTTAAGAGAGAATTTAAGAATATGGTGAATTCATCTTCTTCATTTTCTTGGGATTATAGAGAATATGGTTAATCATGATTTGTTGGCTTTAAACAAAACTGTTAAACTATTCAAATAGGAGTATGTTACATTTTAATAAATATTGTTAAGTCAGTCTTACGTGGGAGTTTGGTTGTCATACAGATAACATATGATTAGACTTGTGGAATATACAAGATGTGCATACCACTAACTCGTAGGATTTCCATATTTTTGTTCGTGTGAATATTTTTAGGACTAAACCTCTTCTTATTACTAATGTCCTTGTCCTTGTCCATGTCCATTGTCTATGAATATCATGAACGGAGAGGGAAAGTAAAAAACCATGATCAGATTAGGAGATACCCATTAAAATGTGTTAAAGGTGTTTTGGTGAGAAGATGTTTCCTATCAAAGTAGAAATGTTGATGTATGATTATAAAGTATGATGAATTCATTTAGTCTCCATTTTCTAGGTGTAGGTTTGGGATTAGCGTATTTTAAGGTTCTTCATGATTTGTTCGGTTTTAACAAAACTGTTTAACCATATAAATTAATACAGATGTACAGCATTTCGTAAATATTGTTGGGTCAATCGTACCTGGAAGTTTGGTTGTTATAGAGATTACATATGATTAGACTTGTGTATAATATGCAGAAGATGTGCCCATGTGCGTACCACCAACTTGTAGGATTACTATATCGGTTTGTTCTTGTGGAAGAAGAGTTTTAGGACTAGAAAATATCAATGTCAAAATGAAAACGTCTTAAAATAATATATTTTATAATAATGTTACAATGATTTCTATAAAATTATTCATCAACACTAATTCATGATGAACCTGCGGGGTGCGTTTTGTAAATTTAAATTAATCATTTGATGACGAATAAAAATCCCCTGTACCGAAAATACCATCTCGTTGTATAATCTCCACACATATAAACATGGTGTCGAGAATGAGTTTAGGAAGATGTTGATATAAGTATTTTAGTTAATTTAAATTGAAAAAACCTAGACTACAAGATAAGCACAAGCAGTATATCAAAATCTTGAAAAACAAAATCGCAGTAATTAGGTCTTTTAATCTAGAACGTAAATATTCTCCAATCAAACACCAGTTAAGAATTCGGAGGAGAAATTTACACGTTTAAAATAAAATCACCAACCTCATTTATTCTCTGAATATGAGGAACAAAACGTAGAGTGAGGAACAAGGTTTCTAATATAGGGCAAATATACATCCCAAACCCCCTAAATCTTGTAACTTGTGTAATTGGGGCTGAATTGGTTTATCTACGCTAAACCGGTGTGACTTATTCCACACGGTGCACAATCTTCCTCTTAGAAGAACCAAAATGAGTCTAGAACAAACCTAGAAAAGATCAGGATTAGGGTTAAAACACCTAGACACAAGATTTCATTTATCTTCATCTTTTAATATCTTTGCAAACAATACAGTGGTCTGAAATTATTATGTCTATGACACTGCCCTTTCCAATCTTAAGTTTCTTGGTGATCCTGTTCCACAGATGCAACCCGTAGCTTTCTCTGTTCAGCTTCACCAAATCATCTTTAAGCAATGTCGTGTCATTGCTGCTCGTTGGCGTCTGAAATAGTCTCTGAATGTTTATCCAATTAAAAGGATAGAAGGCAACAGGAGGCAACACGGTGAAACTGTTCCCAAGTGTTTCTTGTTCTCTCTGCACTACTCTTGTTACCAAGTAAGGACCGTTGTGTCCCCATTTGTTCCCATCAAAAGTCGTAGCAAACTCTTCTATGAAACGGTAAAGAAGCTTGTGCTCTTTCTCGAAGATGAGAACCGCATTGTTCAACCTTGTCCAGTTTCTTGAATCTCCTTCCACAACTGTTTGCGCTCCGATGGAATTCTTCAACCCTTTAAAGCTTCTTGTGACGATGTAATCTGTATCCAAGTAAACGCCTCCGTACTTGTATAGAATCGCTAGTCTTGCAAGATTTGAAAGATTCTGAAACAACGGTATCCTTCCGGGATCTCTCTTGCAGCTTTTCATTTCTTGAAACCATGTTTTGGCCGGAGTGTTCTCAAGCAGCGATGTAAGGTCTGGTGTGGCTGCGAAAGCCTTGTAGCCGCGATCAAGAAGAGGTTTTAAGATGGTATCTCCTTGTGGAGAGTCCATTGATCCTGATGCAATCATCAAGCATCCTTGAGGATGAGATTTGAAAACGCTTTCCACAGCAAGAAGTTCTCTCTTGCCGAAAAACTCTGCTGGTGAAAACCATGTCATGAAGAATCTGACCTCACATTTGTCGTCGAGAGAATCAAGAACTCTCTGGTGAAACTGCTCTGAGAGGTTGGTTGACTTGAAGACCTCGAAGTCTTGGAGATGAGATCGAAGCCAAGCGATCCTGTCTCTGCTTGTTGTGTTCTTTGGAGGAGCCAATGACTTCCTCTCCATTTGTATTACCTCAGAGGTCGGTGAAGTCGAGAAGAAAGTAGATTCTAGAGACATGTTTGAGAGAATTGTTCCGGCGACGATGAGCAGCATTATGACACCGAAAATGGCGGTTGAGAACACCGGAGAATTTGTGTATTTGAGTTGGCGGAAATCAAGTGTTTCCGAGAGACTCTTCTTGTTACTATTATCCTTCTCCATTGTTGTAGAATGTCTTGATCAGAGGCAAGAACTCACATGGAGTCTCAAGCTATTGCAGATGATAAGAGAGGTATATTAAAATGTGTTTAAATGTGTTTTGGTGATATGATGTTTTCTAACAAAGTAGAAAATGTTAAGGCAGAATTAAAGAGTATGATGAATTCATCTTCTTTCATTTTTTAGGTGGTGTTTTGGGATTAGAGTAATGTAAGGTTCTTCATGATTTGTTGGCTTCAAACAAAACCGTTAAACTATAGAAATATATGTTACATTTTATAAATGTTGTTAGGTCAATCTTACGTGGGAATTTGGTTGTCATACAGGTAACATATGAGTAGACTTGTGGGAAATGCTTAAGATGTGCATACCACTAACTTGTAGGACTACCCTATTTTTGTTCGTGTGGAATATTTTTCGGACTAGAATACAAAGTTTAAATAAATTTTCTTAAAGTATTATACAATTTTGTAATGTTCCACTGATTTAGACATCTATAAAAAAACTGTTCATACAAAGATACACCAATTCAAAAATGTTTTTTTTTTTTTTTTAATTAGCCATTTGAATTTATAATGATTTTAACTAGATTAAGTCTGCCAAACTCTTTAATGATACTGTACTAATTGAAAGTTTTGTTGTTGCCAAACTCTTTAATGATTTACTTGACTTTTTTCGCCAACTCTTTTGCATGATATGTATGGTTTTGAATGATTTTCTCTAAAGATTCTCAAAGAATCGGCTAGGTTCAACTTGTATAGCCAAATGTTCCATGAAAAGCACCAAAACATATAAAAACCAACAAATGGTCGCAAATTGCTAGGAAACAATTCTCTAATGAAACAAGTTCGAAAATGCAGTAGCTTCCATATGTGCTAAAAATAGGTAGTTACCATAAGACTGTTCCACCAAAGTTAACATAGATCCTCAATAGTTGGAAAGCTGGGTATATAGTATGGTATCATGAGGATGGCGATGACTCGTTCTTGTTCTTGTTCTTGTCCGTAGAGCTTGTGATGCTACTCCTTATGTTCTGCACAAACGATACATACATTTTTGTGAGAAGTTAGCTTTGCAAGTCACACAACTAAGTTAATAAGAAAGAGACGACCTAGAAAGGAATAAAGGAATCAAGAACCGTACCATGTGCCTTAAGGCCATATCAAGAGACGACCTAGAAAGATTTCTCCCAAAGCCTGAGCTCACGTTATCGTCCTGTTTTGGAGGTGGGAGTTTCCTCATGTTCACAACTCTTTCCACCATTTGAGTCCCCATCAACACAGGATTCACATCGTCGCTAATCTTGGACCGTCCCGTTGATCTGTCACCAGAACTGTAGACTCTGCCTCTTGAGGTTGATCTGTCAGGAGAACTGTAGGCTCTGCTTCTTGAGGTTGAGACAGGTCTTGCCGGTATTTCACGGATTGTTAAAGATGTAGACTTGGAACTAGGAGCTGACTTTCCCACCGAGGTTGAACGGTTAAGAGGAGATGCTCGTGGATTGGATTTGACTGAAGAGATTTTACTATCTGGAATTGAGTTCCGAGCAGAGTTGGTTTGTTTTGTGGAAGGTAATGTGGCTCGTCTTGAAGGTTTACTGCTTGGTCTTGGTTCTGCAACAGTGTTGGCTTGTTTGCTAAGAGCAGATGAAGAATTCAATCTTGGAGTTGGCTTGGAAGCCTTGACGCTCCGTGTCACAGGTTCTTGCGGGATGTTCGCGACCTTAGAACAAAAAGGTTAACATGAATCAGCACAAGCAATCACTAAGGATACGAAAATATCTAAACATAAGGAATGGTTACTGTTTTGAAAACATGGACCAATGGTGTGAACATATTACTTGCAGCTAAATGTCCCGTTTAAAGAACAGGCACATATGAAAAAGATAGCTAAGATTCAAATCTAGGAAGGGAAGGCGGTTTCAGGGAAGTATCATTGGAAGGTTTTTCATTCGGTTCTCACCCGTGGTTTTAGAGCAGTAGTGGACCTAGCTTTAGGCTCCTTGAGTTTAACTATGGAGTTCTCTTGCCCTTCTTTCTCACCTAGCGTCTCAGGAGCCGCAAGTAACCTGAGATCATATCATCTCTAGATGAATATTTTCAACCAAAGGAGCATACTCTAATCGATTGAGGTATCTAACAGCAGCAAATAGAGACTTACAAACTCAGGATTATGTGTCAAGCTGATCTGAATTCTAAGAAGCAAGCTAAACATGTTCACAATCTCATTTCACAATCTTACTTCTACATCTTTAAGAGACTCACATTCGAACACTACTGCTACAGATAACACACAAATATCTCAACAATTTCAAGAAAATCAATCAAAGCAGTACCACTCGTAATCTGATTTGTCGTTCTCAGAGTCCAAGAACTTTTCAACTGCGCTCATACGCAGCTGAACACAGCTTGTTGTTTTGAGCGCTAAACCCTTCGTGCTAGTCTTCTCAGCACTGTTTCGTCCTGTTAAAAAAATCAACAACATGATCAAATCAAACAGCATTCAGGAAATTGGCAACAAAATACTAAAAAACAGGGAACAACTCCAATCAGTATGAGCAGCAAACGAATTAGCGACACAAAACGCAGTGAAAGTAAAATTCTGAGCTACAGGAGCTGAGCAAACAACTCTAATAGTACTCAAAAACTGAATCCAAAATCAAAACCACGAAGATATGGAAAACGCGAGCTAGTTCAAATGTGTGCTGCAGCATAAAATTTCCGAGTTCGCATCTTAGATTTAGGTTCCGGGAAGCTCAGATTCGATGAAATCGAGAGAAAATTTGGAGAAAGGGAGATTCGATAAAACTCACCAGTTTCTGGAAGAGAAGAATCGCTTTCGATCTTCTCGCGCCTCCGCATCTCCAGGAATAGAGAGAGCTCTTCATCGCCATCTCGAGCCATCGCATTCTCCATTTCTCGAAACGATATCACTTTTTAGCTGATCACTGCTGACGACCGTAGCACCAGAAACGACGAAGCACCCAGAAGGTCAACGATGGAGGCCACAAACTAAAAATTGCAGAAAAAGAATAGAGATGGTGAAAGAAGAAGAAGAAGGAAGAAATTTACACAGATTGATTCAGTCTAAATTCACGAAATTGCCACTGTTTGTCAATGTCTGGTGGCTCTTTTTTTGTTCAGGAGCTGGAGCGTTGTAGGGGAGGGTATAGATGTAATTGACGTAGGCCCCATTGACTGAATTTGTGTTATGAGCCGTTGGATGCCCAACGGCGATGACTGATCGGACGATTGATATTTGAATGGACAGACCAATGAAGTAGCCTCGTATTTCGTGCGATTCAAACTCCTCGGTAGGACTCGGGTCATTTAATTTTGTTCTACACTTATACATCTAAGCGGCCCAATACACGGCCCAATAGTTAATTAATTGGATTTGAAACCCATAAAAATCTGTTTTTGTCCGGTTAAGAGAAATAGGAGATTACCGGTACAAGTAGTGGTAATCCTAAAATTAAGCCATAAAAAAACCGTATATAATTCGGTTTGATGCGGTTAGTTTGATTTTGTTAACTTGCTCAGAAAAATTATTAACCATAGAAAATGAAAAACCTCCAAATAAAAAAAATTAAATAGATCATTGACATTGAGGAATCATAGATAAATCCATCCAAAACCCACACATCGAACATTATAACAACTTCTCAAAACTTATCTTCATCAAGACCCACAAAAAAGAAGAATGCAAAACACTCACTGAATCTCAGAAATCTCTCTGACAAGTTTTTAATATTTCAAAATGAATCAAGAAATTTGGGCTTTGTATCGGTTTGGAAATTTTTTGTTTTCAACACATTGCCCCTTGTGACTTGTCCAAATCTAAGATGAGAAGACTCTTTTGCCGATTGCGTTGACGATATTGTTCATCGGTTGAAATCCCATTTGAACACCATTTGGTTGTTCTGAAAAAAAATATATATATATCACAAAATTATGTTATACAATTATAATTGACAATCTAGTATATTATAAGTTAGAAATATGGAAATTAACTCACTCTGAGGAATTTTGTCGACGAAGAAACAAATGGCAATGATGATATAGCAAAGCAAGAGAACAAGTCCCTTCATGTAGTGAGAAGTCCCATCCTAAAGAACAACAAAAACATAACACGATATTTAATCGTTGAAACTAGAATATTTGAATCATCCAATATAATTTTATATGGTGTTGAAAAAATGTCGAACCTGTAATGTGAAGGCTGTGATGATAATGGAAAGAGCAAGAGAACCGGTTTCGAGGAGATTGAAATTGAGATCCATATTGATCCCTAGAATCCACGCCACGATAATGGTCAAAGGAACGACGAATAAGCCAATCTGAGTGGCAGAGCCTAACGCTACTCCCAAAGATATGTCCTGAAAATTATTTGCATGGCCATTAGTTCACATGTCATTTTAATCAACATAAAGACATTCTGAAAGCGAAATGGAACTCACGAGCTTGTTCTTAAACGCGAAAATGATGGCTCCAGCGTGTTCAGCCGCGTTTCCAACGATGGGAAGCAATATGATACTTATGAAACTCACTGATAGGCCCCATGTTTCCGATGCGTTCTAACCAAAACATAACACAACACACCACATTTCAGTTTTATTTGTATATATAAAGATATGATATTTAAGATTCATTTCATTATAAAATTTAACTGATCTTTTTTTTTTTTTTTTACCTCAATGGTGGCAACAACATATTCCGATAGCAAGGCGATGACGAGGGTCATACCAACCAACCAGGAAAATCCACTCCAAAATCCAATCACAGCGGTTTCTTCCTCGACACTGTCATCATACTCGTCTTCCTGTAACATGTTTCGTTTTAAAAATTCGTCAGAATTCGACTTCTTCTCTAAATTATGAACAATGTTTTGTTGTTTGTATAAATAAATATTTTAGTACCTGATCTTGTGCGTCGAACAATTGGCGGTGAGTCCAAAGCTGGAAAACGAGATACGCGATGTAAGACATCAACATAACAATACTGCTGGCTCGTGATAGATTCAGTGACATGTCGGAGATAACAGCAGCCGGAGTGCCTTCGTGTGCCACATATCCCAACAACATTGGCAGCAAATGGCACAACAATCCCATTAGAAGTAAGAAGAAGTTCACATCGGCTTGTTTCTGCAAGAACAAAAACATCACAATATTAATTTATTAATTTGTTTTAGCAAATCCAATATCAAGTTGGTTCAAAGATACTTGATTCCATAGTTAACCTGACAGTCACACTACTACTTGATTTTTAATCAAGGTAACACTTAAATATAGTCCCGGTTGAGCCTAACCGTACCAAACCCATTCCATTTCCGGTTCAGTTATTTTAATTTCAACCAAAATATTATTGGTTTTGGTATAATCATAGGACAAATGGAAGTCATACCCGGTCAAACCGCTGCTCTCTTCGAAGATTAGCGATTCCACCGCAAAAGAGTGAAGTCCCGAGAACCAATAGAAGGTTCGACAAAATCGAACCAAGCAGCGAGTATTTCACCACTGCGACTTTGTTGTTGGTCAATGCCAGAATTGCGATAATCAATTCAGTCGCGTTTCCACACGTTGCGTTCAGTAGACCACCCACTGCGGTTACAAAACACACAAAATAAATAAGTTTATACAGATTAAATTATATTATTGAAGTTGGAGACAAAAACGAATAGTTTGGTAAAGAAGACGTTACATGTAGGACCGGTGTAGAAAGCTAGTTGCCTGCACAAGATGCACGAGATATGTTAGTATCAAGCGACCACTAAAAATAAATAAAAATATTTGTGAATTATTAAGAATATAATTATGAGCATATCATATGATTCTAGATCCCAATGTACTTGGTTGAATTTAAAGAGGATAAAGTTTGTGACTTTGAGCTATGCAGTCACGTTGACATATGAGTGGATAATAATTATGTGCGGTCGCTAATACCCAATCATGCAGTGACGAATCCCAAAAGAATATTGGTCCATTTATTTCAAAAAGCAAAAAAAGAAAAAAAAAAGGTGGATTCGGACCAAACTACAATGATATTGTGTAACGCCTCCAATTCAAATCAAGTACTGATAAAGTTGTAAACAAGACAAATTTTCATTTATCGATGCAAAAATCACGGAGAAACGATTGAAATATTGATTTAACGTGATATTTTATCTGTTCAAAGAAGAACAAAAGAAACGTGATATGTTATCTACAGACTACAGATGGATAGATACGTTACATTATGTTCTTCGATCAAGACAAGATTTAGCCAACTGTGTCTTGTCTTAATCGAAAAAGAAAGTTTCATAATGTGAAGAATTCAAATAAAATAAAATGGATAGATAAGAATTCAACTATATTTGGATGAGGATGGATACTTACTCTGTCAGAAAGCTGACTCGCTCAGCCAAAGGAGTGAGTCCTAGCAAGCTCAGTCCAAATATCCAAGGCTGAAATATTCACCATTTATTTTTATTATTAACTTATCAAGTATGTGCAATTGTGCATATATGTTAACATATGGTGGTTAACCATTTATATAATATAAGTGCACAATTACGTGGCAATATATACACCAAATCGTTAATTTCAAAAATTAATGATTGCAAATCTAATTTAGTGGTGAGTAATAATTCAATTAGACACACGCGCGAATAATGCCAGAATATCCTAAACATATACACTTTTGAACCAATAAATCCTTACATTTTTAGGAAAAATTGATTTAAAAATAAAATTATTTTTTGGTAAGTAAAAGACAAAAATTATTGTTTAATGCTTTACTGTCAGTTTCGAATATTAATTGTAACGGAAACATGTAAAATTATGCAATATCTGGATGAAATATGAATTATTTAGCTGTTTTGAACGATTTTTTTTTCAAAAAAATATGAGAAAAACTTACAAAATTAATAATGATGAAGAGGAAATATGTATATACAAACGCATACCTGACTGAAGCCGCAGTATGTGCCGATAATGGCGGCAGGAATGGCAGGAAAAAGGATGGCAAGCTTTGTGCCGAGAATGACTTCTTGGAGATTGGCGAGAAAATCTTTAAGACCTTTGTAAGGAACCTTCTGGATCACCCTGAGGTCTGATTTCTTCCTCAGCGAGGAAGAAGACATGTTGTGAGCTGTTCTTCCATGTCTCAGTTCTCTGCTCGATCCTTTTGCGGTCACGGGTGCGTTTCCGTTCCCGTTCTCCGCCGCAGACCACTGTTCAATCCCGGCCATTTCTCCTACTGATTCTTGTATATTGTAATGTTTTTGCTTTGCTGATTATTTATGTTGTGTCTGTAGAAAGAGTGGCGTCACAGATTTAAATACTGAGTAGTTTAATATTTTGGGGCCACACCAAGGCAGCTTCCACGAAGTTTCCCTTTGGTTTATAAATTTAATTTTGGGAGATTTTATTCCTTTTTATTCTGGAAACAAAATCTCAAACGGTAGATATATAGATAGGTGCAGTTTAAATTTGTAGTATCACATGGCTATCAAATCCAGACTCCTATAAAATCTCTGACTATTTGGTAACTACCACTTTAAGACTTATATAGCAAGTTTTTAATTTTAAAATATCCAACTTTGGTCTATAATATCTTTATCTACCAGCTAAATATTAAGTAAAAAACGAACGTGTTGGTCTAAAAAAAAGATCAAATGACTAAAAGATCAAAACGGCCATGTTGAACAAGTCGAGCTGTGATCCGTCTGGCGTCTGCCAGCCCAATATGGTTTGAAATACAAAAATAGAAACAAATTTCATGAAAACTATACTTATTAGAGTATGGATTGTAATTGAGTTGAAAATCGGTTATCTTGTATATTAAATCGGAAACTCTTTTTACATATAAGGGGCTCGATGTAACAACTTTTACGTCGGAGACCCAAGAGTTTGTTCTTTAATGCAAAAGAACCCGGTTCCGTATTGAAATGAAAGTCACATAAGAAAAGAATAAAAGGTATTGTCATTGGTAAAACACGTACGTGCTCTGAGAGTGTTCTTTGGGGAAATCCTAAGGGTCCAAAATGTGTCGTGTAGTTTGAAAACGAAGCTGCTGATTTTGCCATGTGCCTTTTTTACTTAACGAGGAGGTAAGTTGATAAAAAGATGGGAAGTGGCTGCTACCTTTTGTCCTCTATTTATTAAGGTTAACTTTTAGCTGATGTTAAAATCAGTCCTCAGACTCAGAGGTGGTCCAAAAGATTGAGATAAATGACACAATATGGAAGTCATTTGAAACCATTGAGAAATTAAAAGAAGACCTTGATGCATCATCGATTGAAGATATTATAAATAATGATAGAGTCTGCCGGCACCAATTCATTCCAAATTTTTAGAAATTTATAGTATTTTGTTCTTTGTACTCTTGATCGAGTGCACGATA